TCTAGTCTTCTTTCTACTTTGTATCAGTTTCTCTCTTTAAGGAGTCAAGATATTCATTCATTCATTCATTCATTCATTCATTCATTCATTCCACAAGAACTTGTTATCTATTGGAAGTTTGGCATTGGGCCAGCCACAGGAGGTATAAGCACAGTTCTGGAGGAATGCCCTGATAAAGAAGATGCTGTCCATTGTTCCACCAACAGCCTTTCTATCTCCTAATAGAACTCTAACATTTTTCCAGGGAACCATCATATTTCATCCCTTGCTCTCAGAAACACTAGGCCTCTACCCTAGGCTCAAGGAATGGTTCTGATTTGTCTAAACCAAGTCATAACATCTCATATGATGGATCTGAGAACTGGTTAGTGAACTCATTCTGGATAAGTTACAAGGTTAAGGCGGCTTAACAGCGGTTCTCAACCTGTGGGTCGCGACCCCTTTGGTGGCCAAACGACCCTTTCACAAGGGTCGCCTAAGACCATCCTGCATATCAGATATTTACATTATGATTCATAACAGTAGCAACATTACAGTTATGAAGTAGCAATGAAAATAATTTTATGGTTGGGTCACAACATGAGGAACTGTATTTAAAGGGCCAGAAAGTTGAGAACCACTGGCTTAGAAGGCCTGTCTTTCCCAAATAAAAGTCAAGGAATAATGATGTAAAAGCCCCCATGACTTTCTGTTCCTCTGCCCAAAGATGAATTTGATGTCCAGAAGCACTTTAGCCCATTGTGACAAACCAACATGAAGGAACAGCAAGAGAAGAGTCTGGGTGCTTAGTGACATTTTGGAATCGCTGGGTTGCTTATACTGAGACTTCTTGTTATGAGAGAAAAAACAAACCCCTTATATGTTTAGGCTTCTGTGAACTGGATTTTCTGTTACTCACAGTTGAATGGATTCCTAAGTGATTCAACTGACTATTTAGAGACAGACTCATAAACAAATTGAAGTTATATTTTGAGTTAAGTTTTGTTTAACATCTTCCAAGCCCTCTTTCCTTGTACGTATAGGCAAAAGTAATATTTCCTTTACAGGTTTGTTATTGGGATTATATATGAAAATCACTTACCATAGTGCTTAGGAAATAGCCACAGCGTAGTGTATGCTAATTCCTTTCCATTTTCCTAACAACTAGGGCTGTATGGAGGTGGAATGGATTACTTGGAAGAAAGCATGAAAGCAGAAGCTTGGCCACATATATAAAGCTTTGGATGGATGGATAAATTAGTCATCCTTTACTCATCTTTCTTTTTCAAGTTTCATGACTCCTCATGTCTGATTGAACCAGCTTTTCCAAGTAAATCAGTCTATTTCTTTGCCTTTTATAAATTCCCACAAGAGAATAGATTTATTTTTTAATATATTTTTATTCATTTCAAAGAGGAAGGAAGAGGGAGAGAGGGAGAGGAAAGGAGAGAGCAAGAGAGAGAGAAACACCAATGATGAGAGAGAAGAATTGATTGGCTGCCTCCTGCACGCCCCACACTGGGGATGGAGCCCGCAACCCGGGCATGTGCTCTGACTGGGAATTGAGCTGTGACCTCCTGGTTCATAGGTCGACATTCAACCACTGAGCCACACCAGCCAGGCAAGAGAATAGATTTAAATGAACGATTATACTTAAGGCATATGCCCACCTTACTCAAATGCCGACTGAATCCACATAGATTGAGGAAGGGTTGGTTCCAGAAAGGATGGAATGTTGATAGACATGAAATATATCAACTACAACAGGTCATTCTGTCTTTTCTGCTACTCTATCTAACACTACCTAAATAAAAACTACTTGAATCGTAACTAACATTCGTTGGGTATTACTATTTGTCTGGTACTTGGCTAAATGCTTTCTATGGGCCCCCTCATTTAGTACTCACAGTAATTCAAGATATAGTTACTATTATCTTAATTTTATAGAGGAGTAATTGAACACAGATAGGGGAAGTAAATTGCTCATAGCCACACAGCTGATATGTGGTCAAGATGGAACCCAGGCATCTCATTTTCCATCCCATCTATAATAATAAAAGCATAATATGCTAATTAGACTAGACAGCTGAATGACCTTTAGGACAACCTTCCCGATTAAGCTGGGGCTTCGAGGTCTGAGCCCTTTGCACGAATTTCGTGCATAGGGCCTCTAGTAGGAAATTTAAAAAAAAAAATGAGGAGGCTTATGCATGGATCATAGAATGAGAGGGAGCTTGCTGAATAGATAGATGCCCATGGCTAAAAAAAGCTGGAGAGACTGCCCTTCAACCCCCACAACAAAAACACAAAAACTCATAAAATAGCTTCCTTCCTTGATTAAAGCCATTTTCTGACCTCAAAAGAATACACAGTCAAAGCTTACCCAACTGGAGGAGATTTAGAGATTTTAGATTTAGTTAGTTCTGGACACCATTTGAATGAAAACAGTCCCAGATGTGAATTTTTTTCTTTTATAGATTTACTCTCAGGCTCAATAATAATCCACAAAAGTTGGGCTCCTATTTGCCCTTGGACAGTGCTCATATGCCTTTATGTTGCTCATCAGGACCTTCATGATCTGACCCCAGCCTGTGTTCCTGTCCCCTCACTTGGCATTTCCACTTCTTCCCTCCTGATTTGAGGTCCAGCCACAGTGAAATTCATGCAGTCATAATTCTTGGATCTCTGCAAGGTCTCCTTGTTGATCTACACATAGCCCTGTTTTATTTTATTTACGTTTTCATTTACCTTTTTTTGGGCAAGAAAAACACTTTAAATTTTAAATTTACTTTTAAATACTATAACAAACACCTATAAAGGTGAAATTCTTCCTTTAGTTTACAATGCCTCACTGTTATCACTGTTATCAGAACTTCTATGTGCTCTGTCTGAAATTCTTCCCAGCCCATCCCCACCTTCTCCAATGTCCTTTAGGTCTATATTTAAAAAGTGTCCTTGACTGTTCTTCTATCTTCAAGACTAGGCAGGGATCTTTCCCCAGCACTCCCATAGTGTCCTTTCCCTGTCACATCTAATCAAGTGCTGTATTGTCTGTTAACTCACTTCTTTTCCCACCAGGAGACACTAGCCTGGGAGCTTATTTTAGGACAAGAATGACTGATCTTATATTGTAGTCTCAGTGCTTAGAGCGGTGTCACATAGTGTGAACTCAATATATAGTTCAAGGGTTAGCGAACTTTTTCTATTAAAACCATACAGTATCTTTTGCATTTACACAACTCTGCCATTGTAGTGTGAAAGCAGCCATAGACAATATGTAAATACCTACCATAGCTGTGTTGCAATAAAACTGTATTTACAAAGATAGATTTGATCCATGGGCCACAGTTGTGCTATAATTGATGACGAAACGAACAAATAAAAATGAATAAGCAGGATTACATTTAACCCCATTTACCAGAAAGGAAGTACTGGTTACTGCAAAGAACTCTTTATCAGAAAACCTGAATTCAATTTTCTTCCTATTATGTAATATCTTTTATCTCTGGCCTTCTATGGCCTTATCTTTAAAATGGGGCCTGATAATACCTCCTCTGCTTAAAGATTTAAAACTGTCAGGTTCTTACGGTTAGGATGCCTATTTGTCTTTATTTCTAGAGTCTAGCAGAAATCCCACAGGCCTAGAGCAGAGATTTTCAATCATTTCCATCTCATGGCACACATTAACTAATTACTAAAATTCCGAGGCACACCAAAAAATATATTTATTGCTGATCTGACAAAAAAATAGATATAATTTTGATTCACTCACACCAGATGGCTGTTGTTGTGTTGGCTGTTGTCATTTTTCCATTTGGCAATCTAAGGGAAAAGGGGTCCATGCCCCTGAATAAACAGTCAGGTATTGCATTTTTAAAAAATTCTTGTGACATACTGTGTGCCGTGGCACACCCGTTGAAAATCATTGCCATAGAGCATAGTAGGTAGACAAATAATTGAAAGCTCAGAGTGAAGCTGGTGTTTAATGAAACAGGTAGTTGGAGCAGTCAATAGTTGTAAACCTTAGAAAGTGGAAAGTGTTAGTCATCAGCTAAATTGCTACTATGTAGAAGTCCTTCTAGGTTTAAGAAATTGGGGTATTTTAATTCCAAATGACAGAAAATCCAACACAAATTGGCTTAAGCCCCATGGAGAATTTATTGGTACATTGGTGTGCCTTGTTTCAGGGGCTCAAACCAGGTCAAAGACCCAGGCTTCGCTATTTCTCCACTTGTCTTCCGGCTTCACCTACTGGTGGTGGGATGGCTAACATTGGATTCACCCTCGTTTCCTCACAGCTCAAAGACCATTGGAAAATAGGGAGGGTCCCTGTCTCTCAAAAGTCCTAATAAACAAGCCAAGATTATGTACCCTTGGCTTTGGGTCACTTGTCCATCTTTGAGCCAAATACCATGGCCATGAATGAGATTACATAACTTGAGATGTACTGACCGAGAGCGAGGAAGGCCTGGCTGTACAACGGCAAACCTCCCCTATGCAAAAGAAGAAGGTGGAAAAAACATGAAATACCTAGAACTGTCATGATCCTTCTCTCAAGAACACTATGATTTAATGCAGTCATGCAAATCGAGGATGTTTGTGAATGCCAGGCTGCCTGTCCACAGACCCTACCTTAGAAAGAGAAGAAAACCGAGCTTAGTGTCTTTCTCCAGTGTGTGACCCTCCTAGATACAAACATTGTTATCGATAGTTGCATTTCTAAGATAAAAGAATATGTACTACACGTTCGCCCACGCCATCCCCCAGCCCC